TCAGCTTTGGAGTGGTGTTAATGGAACTTTTAACTGGATGGATGGCGCTTGATGAGAACTGGCCAGAGGAAAGCAGGTACTTGGCCGAGTGGTTTCGACAATAGCTGAACTAGCTGGTCATTGCACAGCGAGGGAACCAAGCCATCGGCCTAAAATGGGACATGCAGTGAATCAAAAAGCCATAGTCCCTACTTGTCGAAAATTGGAAACGAGTTGAAGACGAATCCAATTGTTTCTCAGGGATTGTTTACAACCAACCTCTACCTCAGATGTTAAAGGTTTGGAAAGAATCAAAAAGCCAAGGAGTCAACTATAATAGCCTTGAGGTTCCTGCAAGGCCTAACAGATTTGCATAGTCCTTCACTTCCGCGGATGGGCGATGAGTAAATTGGTAAGTCCACAGAATCTATTGGCTCTTGCAGCAGTATAATCTCTATGTAGGATGTCATATTAAGTTCTTCCTTTTTGTTAGTGTCCATTCTAGTACTCAGAGGTGCTTGCATCGGGAGTGTGAGAATTGTCCGGTCCATATCATCAACGTAGATAGAGGACGTTTGTTCGTATTTTAATGAATTATGTAAGTTTACTTTATATGCATGTTAGTTTGAAAAGAATCAATTGCATTCACTATCATATTAATGCACATATTACTCTTGATAATTGTTTCGAAATCAAGAAATTACTAGACACTTCTGCGATATCAACGCTCCCCCGGGAGCTCCCTTCCTGTTGCAACAATTTTCCAGAAAAGTTGATTGTGAAATTTACATGCGTCGGAGATCATATTTTTACCACGTAATTTCAAACCAGTCAATAGATGCAATTTTAAGCATGGACCAAAATCAATTAGTTTTAGTGATTGAAGGCTGAAGCAGTCAAAGACCTGAACTAATGCAAACAGACTTGTTATTTGTAATTTTTCGCTTCACTGGTTCTGCTTAGGCTGCAATCTCTATTTTGCTCTTTGGGTACATACTACATGAGTTCTGGATTTGAAGTAGAATGTTGTGTTTTATTGTGTTCGTGTCGTGTCGGCGTCGCGTGAAGTTACTCTAAACTCAAAGCCGATTCATTAACTTATCATATCCAAACACATAACCCTGCCATTTGTAGATTTTGATGTGTCGGATTTGAACAACTTTTTGTAATGATTATTTATGATGAAAGATTTACAAAATAAACAGTTCGGATCTTGAATACAATGCTGACTGAGCTACAAAACGACAAATGTTTTTAGAAAAATAAAAGATTTATAATAAAGATAATGTATAGTTGTGGTATAAAAACGTGTGTTTTAAGTGAACACTAACCCTACTAGTTAATACCAGTGTCAACCTATTATGTACGGACTTGACTCACCCTTTAAGACTAACTGAACTCTTCAATTTTCTGGGAAGAAACACATGTTGTCTGTTTATTTCAAAAAAAACACGTCAAGCTGTTTTTTAGGAAGCACTTGTATATTTATTAAAAATTTCAATGTGATGTTAATAGAATTTCTTTTCCTGAAATTACTTCTAACCATAAGTACTTTTAAAAAAAAAAATTAGTGAGAATTGACCATAATTATTTTTTATAAGAATCGAACCTAAAACTTCTCATTTATAAAAAAAAAATCACTAAATAGTAATACTAAGTGGCAATTCTTTTTAAAATAAAGTTTAGAAAGTGAGCATTGCATAGGTGGCTTTGCAGCACAAAAATTGGCAGTTGTGAAGTTGGTCCACTCGACTTTAATTCCCAGAATGCTATTTTTTATGTATTTGTTGCTTCTGCGTGTAGTTGCATGTTTGCTGCTGGGACACCCGCCCCTGCCCCCCCCCCCCCCCCCCCCCCCCCCCCCCCCCCACGGGGGGCATTCCCAAATGACAAGAACCTGCTGATTTTATTTAAACAAACATAATTTGAGGGGAAGATTTTCTACAGTGGTCAGGAGCATCAGGTATTCTGAATTTTTTTACTCGTTGTAGTTTTAATTAAAAATATTAAAATTAAGATTTAAAGGATAAAAAATTCAGAATATTTTATACTTCATAAAACCTATTCACTTTGAGAAGGAGAGGATTGACATAAAATGCCTCTTGAGTGTTTTGCTAATTAATGCTATTATTCATAAATTTCTCTGTCATAGTTGTATGGTTATCACAACTTATGGACTTAATATTTTCAATAGTTAGGGTCAACAACCAATATTTCTTAACAATTTGTCTATTTCGTTGTATAATTCTCCAAAGAAAAAAAATGAAGTGCATACGGGAGAGTTTTACACTTTTAAAAGTCCAACGAGTTTTACACTTTTAAAAAGTCCAACTTAATCTCACGTGTATGTCACGTGCTCATTTTATCAGCAAAAATGTCAAAGTTAACCTTGAATTGGGGCAAGTAGTAAACTAGGGTGTTACTTTTTAATTTTTCTTTAATAGTCTGGAGTACTCAGTATTACATGAAATAAACGGTCATGATTGAATTGATGAAATACTATTTTTACTTACTTGTCAATCTAATGGATATAAAGCCGCTTGAAGACTTACCCATTACCTTTCCAAAAACTTCCCCAAGTTTTTAAGTACTAACAATGTGCCGGCTACATATAGTGTTTTAACATTTTGTATCGTATCATTTTTTTGGGGGTGTGATATCCACACACCCTTTTTTACTTCTCCTTTTAAGTTTCCGGCCGTCAGATTGGATGAATTGAAGAAGATCAACGAACATAAATTAATAAGGGTGTGTGAGAAGTAAAAAGGGGTGTGTGGATAACACACCCCTTTTTTTGTGATGTAACATTATTCTCAAGACAACATACCTGTTAACTTTTCACGCCTAAATACATTAACTCAAATTAATTTGTAAATTTTACGTGTAGAATCGTGTTTCAACCATACACTAATTTCTCTATATTTCTGACAAGAATGACCACGACATGAGACATTTCAAATAATATCAAGTTGACAAGTTGAACATAAAGCAAGCACCTTATAATATCATGAAACCTAATTATGTGAAACACATTACATAAAAATGACCAAGTTATTATGCTAAATGATTTTTCAGAAAAAAAAGATATATAACAAGTGTATCGTATTTTGCGAATGAACATTAGCCAACCCCGTTAACTAACGTATTAGTATTGTGTAAACCCACTTTACAGACCTAACTATATAAGTTTTTATGTTTATTCGTGTTATGTTTATTAGAGTGAGGCTCTTTAGAATAGCGGTATTTTAAACAATGAGTCTTCCCGCGTACACAGCAACCCCAATCCAACTCCCTCAACTTCCCAAACAACCACCGCCGTTTCTCCCACTTCCAAACCCTTCCCAGTCCACCTCTCCTAATCCGAACCAGTACCGGAAGCACTCCGTCTCGCTTGAAAGGACCAAAACCCCCATAGACCCCACTGTTTCATGGACCTCATCAATATCCCACCGCTGCCGGAATGGTCATTTAGCTGAAGCTCTTGCTCACTTCATCCAAATGAGACGAGCTGGCGTCGAACCCAACCACGTCACATTTGTTACACTTCTCTCTGGCTGCGCCCATTTTCCGGCCAAGGGCGTTCTGTTCGGGCCTTCGCTTCATGCTTATGCCCGGAAGCTCGGATTGGATACAAATAATGTGATGGTGGGCACGGCGGTGATTGATATGTATGCCAAGTGTGGCGGTGTGGATTTTGCTAGGTTGGTTTTTGATGGGCTGGATGTGAAGAATTCAATGTCTTGGAATACTATGATTGATGGGTATATGAAAAATGGGAAGGTTAGGGATGCGGTTGAGCTGTTTGAAAAAATGCCTAAGAGAGATGCGGTTTCTTGGACCGTGTTGATTGGTGGGTTTGTCAAGAAAGGTCAGTTCGAGCAAGCGTTGGAGTGGTTTAGAGAGATGCAGCTCGCGGGAGTTGAACCAGACTATGTGACCATAATTGCTGTAATCGCTGCGTGTGCAGATCTGGGAACGCTTGGTCTAGGTTTGTGGCTAAACTGTTTTGTTATGAAGCGAGACTTTAAAGACAATGTTAGGATAAGTAACTCGTTGGTTGATATGTATTCTCGATGTGGTTGTATTGGTTTTGCTCGTCAAGTATTCGAGAACATGCCGGAAAGGACATTGGTGTCATGGAACTCGATGATTGTGGGATTTGCAGTTAATGGGCACGCAGAGGAAGCTCTTGAGTTCTTCAACCTGATGCAGAAGAAAGGGCTCAAGCCAGACGGGGTCAGCTTCACTGGAGCACTCACCGCCTGCAGCCATGCTGGTTTAGTCGATGAGGGGCTCCATTACTTTGATAACATGAAGGGAGTTCACAGAATAACACCCAGAATCGAGCATTATGGATGCATAGTCGATCTCTATAGCCGTGCAGGGAGGTTGGAAGATGCCTTGGGTGTAATAGAAAACATGCCGATGAAACCAAATGAAGTTGTGTTGGGTTCTTTGTTGGCCGCTTGTAGAACCATTGGGAACATCAGTTTAGCTGAAAGATTGATGAAGTACCTCTCTGAGGTTGATCCTGGTGTTGATTCCAACTATGTGCTCCTAGCCAATATATATGCAGCTGCTGGACGGTGGGATGGTGCAAACAAGGTTAGGAAGAAGATGAAAGACCTCGGAGTACAGAAGACACCGGGATGTAGTTCCGTTGAGGTTGACTGTAACATTCATGAATTCGTGGCCGGTGATAAATCCCATGTTGACACAGACTGTATATATTCAACCCTAGAGCTTCTCTCCTTTGAGCTCATATTATGTGGGTATGTTCCAGAAAACATTGTGAGAGAACCGTACAAGTTTGATTGACACTGTAGTTGTAGATTATTCAAGAATACAATATATTTCTGCGACTGCTTGTGAAGCTCCGAAATCAGTCTTATCAATATAATTCAAGAAGTGATTTCGTACACCCTCCCACCCCACCCCCCCCCCAAAAAAAAAAAATCCCCTATGTTTATTCAATCTAACACAAGGGGGAAAAAACAAAAAAAATGTGCAAAACGAGAAAATGGGTGTGCGGAAATTATTTCGCTATATAATTCGTTTGTGAGATGTGAACTAAAACTATGACATGGTACTAAAAAAAACCAGTACAAACAAGTTAAAAAAAAAAACTTTATGATATTAGCATCGGTGAAATGAGGAGAAGAAACACCAAACCAACAACAGAGAACTTCATCGACCCGAAAAGTGATGAATGAAGGTTCTTTCTTCCTTGGGTTCTTTACAGCCTCTAACAGTTATATCCATTGCCATCAAAATATGTTCTCCCACAAAGTCAAGTTCCATAGCAATGGAAGAGAAAGCATTCCAGTCCGTGTATAGTCTGTTCCATCTGTTCCCACCACAAATTCGGAAGCCACATGTAGAACTCTCAGTAACTAGAAGGCAACCTTCAGATTAAGAAGTATATATAGGCTTTATGAACAAATTTCAATCCCGAAGGCAACCTGAGAAGGGAATTTTTCCCCAAAAGCATCATGAGCAAAGAACTGGTGTAGTTTTGCAAGTACTTCATTGTTAAATGCCTCAAATAGATGCTACATTAGGTCGCCTTCCGTAAAGCATCTCTTCCACTCTCTCAGCCACCTCTACCTTCCTGTGAATCCTACAAGCCCCCAACAATGCACCCCATAATGCCTCATCCGGCTCCACCGCCATCCCCAAAACCAATTCCTTTGCTTCATCCACCCGTCCCACCCTACCCAACAAATCCACCATACAGGTATAATGCTCCAACCCAGGCATCACCCCGAACCTCTGCTTCATCATTTCAAAATACTCCTTTCCCTTCTCCGTCAGCCCTCCATGACTACACGCTGTCAACACCGTAGTGAAAGTCACCCCGTCCGGCCTCTCTCCTGCCTCCACCATCCTATCAAACAACTCAAACACCTCATCAAACACTCCATGCATCGCATAACCCGCCATAATTGCCGACCAAGAAATCTCATTCCTCATTAGCATTCCGTCAAACACTTTATGGGCACCCGCCAAATCACCACACTTGGCATACATACTAATCAACGCATTCGAATTCGCCAAGTCAAAGCCAAACCCATTGACCAAAACAGCTCCATGAACTTGTTTGCCGAGCCTCAACACCGATAACCCGGCACAAGATTTGAGAACCGCAGGCAAGGTATGGCGGTCGAAGGGTTTATTGGCGGCGAGCATTCGGAGAAAAATGGACAGAGACTGAGAGAAGAGGCCTTGGGAAGAGTGGGCTCTGATGAGGGTGTTGAATATGAAGGTTGGTCGGCTAGTGCAGAAGGAGAAGAGAAGGTTGGATTGCTTCAGTTGGGAGGAGGCGGCGTAGGAGCAGAGGAGCTTCGTTCGAATGAAGTCGTGGCGGGAAATGCCGAGTTTTATGGTTTTAGCATGGAGCTGCGTGAGGGTTCGGAGGTTCTTGGACGAACTGCAGCCGTCGAGTAGAGTGGCGTAGAATGGTATGAGGCCGCGAGGTGGAGGAACAGCCATTGCTGCCTGTATAGGGAGCAATTGTTCCTGAAAGCACAATTGTGAAACCCTAACGCGATATCAACTTCGACCGTTCCATTCAAACAAATCATTACGTTACAAAAACGTGCTTTGCAAAAAAATCACAGGGTGGAATAATTTTTTAGGTAACAAAAAAATTTAGGAAGGCCACCTAGTTTTACAATTAGTGGTACTCCTGTTTATTTATAAGTGATGTTTTAGGTTTGATTCTTGTCAAATGAAAATTTGAATTACATTATTACTAACGCATTGTGAGTTTAAGCCCACCATCTCCCCCTTAATGTAAACACTATTGTTCGTTAAAAAAAAAAAAAAAAAAGTTTAGCAAGGGTATGGCAGACTTACTTGAACCTAGACCTTGGTCTAAGCGAAAATAACGATCCTTACAAACTTAACCGATCTTCGTAGGCACAAACGTGTCATAATTTCATTCTCTACTAATTCACGACTACACAAGTTCATTCTCTGCTAAATTAATAATACGCTAAATTTATAAGATAAGAGCATTTCCAAATGAAATGTCACATTTTAAACATCAAAATGATACTTGATGGTTTATGTGGCAATTTAACATTTTGTACAATTTTTTACTCCACCCTATATGTTAAATAATATTGTCATTCTATAATTCTTTTTATCTCTTTGTGGGGTTCAATTACTGAGACAACAAATCAAATACTTGATGTACAATAACATTTATTATATATTGCATCACATCTATTAAAAAATCATTTAACAAACTTTACAGTTGCTGTCAAATTTGACAGCAAAAAACTTTGCCGTCAATTGATTCAGTGCCATGTAAGAAACTAAAGGCTCGGTCGGAGAGAGTTTGCGCCATTTTTTACCGTTGTATGTTTACGTAGCAGTTTTCACATAACCTTTGGAGATGCTCTAATACCTAATAAAAAATTCATTTAAGTCTCAAGTAAGGGATAGGATCAAGGGACAAATATTTTTACAAACATTTTTACACTTCTTTGTAGCATTTAGATTTTATAACATCCAAGGGTTCTTATTTATTCATTAAGTGACTTGGATCCTTATGTGGATTTACAAACCTTTTTTTTTTTCTTCTAGATTTTATGTTTTTATTTTTATTTTTAATATTAGTTAAAATCCACATAAGTCTCCAAGTCACTTAATGAATAAATAAGAACCCTTGGATGTTATAAAATCTAAGGGCTATAAAGAAGTGTAAAAATATTTGTCCTTTGATCCTATCCCCTCAAGTAATATATAAATTAATAATTTCCTATTACTAATTGGAACTGAATGAATGAAAGTGCTTTTTGTGAAAATATTTTTAGAACCAATCTTTAGTAAAAATGCAAGTGAATTCTGAAAAAAAAAAATAATAATAAAAAACACTTAAAGTGCTTCTTGCAAGAAGCACTAGTTATGTGTTTCTTATAGGAAGCACTTTAAGTGCTTTTGGAACCCGGAAATATTTTCTCTAAAAGCGTTTTCAATCATTTTAAAAGCACTTCCAAACGAGCTCTAAGACATTTTTTGTTTAAATAGAGTTTTGGCTTGCAATAGTATTCCACTTCTGTATTACGTAACATTAAATGCTAAGAGCATTGGAGAAAATGCAGAATACCTTAATAAATTAATAAGCTATTAATTAAACAATAAATTAATAAATAAATGATTAATTTATCAATTATTTAATATTCCACTAAATTAATAGATTTTCTTGGTCCTAAGACTAATAATTTATGTTTGTTTGGAAGTGTTTTTAATATAGGTATAAATAGTTTTAGACCACCAAAAGCACTTCTGACATTGTCTGACAAAAAAAGTTAAAAACGATTCTAGGTTGGAAAAAAAAAAAAAAAAAAAAAACATTTGAGGTACTTTATGAAAGAAACACCTATTGTATGCTTCCTTCAACACTCTATGCCAATAAAGTAAGGCCCTTTGCACAACCCCATGTTAACCCTATCAAATCTCCTCTATATCTGGCCTTGGATCTAGAAATGTCCACAGCTTGGAAATTGAATCTCCGTCTATGGAAATTCTTTATGCAACAATTAATTTTGGAAGATTCATAATTCGTTTTATGTTTGATTGTTGGAAGCCAAACAGTCTCCAGCAACAACAACAACAAGAAGCCAACGGCTAGTTCTCAAGCCAAGTCCTAAAAAACAAATGGAGGGTTGAGATTAAAACTGGGTTGTATGGTTAAGGTTAGAATGGTACAATGTTTGGTAGAGTTCTTTGTCTTCTTTCTCAATAGAGATAAGATTGATGACTATAATTGGACCAAAACCCTACTACTATGATATATATATGATTCCAAGCTACAATGTTTAGCAGTTGTCACCCTCTTACATTCTCATTCTCTCTTCTCTGAGTTCTAACTAATACTGAAATTCCTTTTTATTCGAACACCCAAAATACAAAATATTAACATGGCCTTAGAGCCTAGGTTCGATTAAATCAACAGGGTATTGTGGAAGCTATCTTTTTGGCAAGATTTCAAACATTTGAAACCCCATAAAGTGGTTTAAAAACTGAGAGATGTCTGGATCAAGTAGCAGTGAGCTTAGAGCTCCCAATTTCAATAACGAGAACTATGATTTCTAGAAGATTAGGATGACCACCATTTTCAAGTCACAAGATCTTTGAAAATTGGTTTGAGAAGAGTATGAAATTCCAGATTTAGATGATGAGTCCAAGGATCATGAGGAGCCCTTTATGATTCGGAAAACAATATTGAGGGACAATGTGATGAGAGATAGATGCTAAGGCACTGGGAAAATATAAGGGGCAGTTTCAGATGCCATCTTTCCCAGAATATCAAATGAATAAACATCCAAAGCTGTATGGGAGATCCTATAAATAAAATATAGAGGTGACAAGAAGGTAACCAAAGTAAAACTTCAATCTCTTAGACATGATTTTGAGTATACACGCATGAGAGAGGTTGAACATCTTAAAGATTATTTTACTAGGTTGTTTGATGTTGTGAACCAAATGGAAACCCTTGGGGAAAGAACTACCTAAGTAGAAACTTGTACATAAATTATTAATCAGTTTGACAAGACCCTATGATTCTATAATGAATATTATAGAGGAAACTAAGGACACTGGCACACTGGATGCACAAGAAATATGGCTTCTTTGAAAGCCTTTGAGCCAAGGTTAGAGAGACATGTTAATGCAGCCACAAAGAGGGCTTTTAAGTCTCTTAGTGTTATTCCTAGATATGGGAGTTCAATTGGTCAATACAACAATTTCAAGCAACACAGTAAAAAATGGAAAAAGGGAAAATTAAGAGATGGGAAGGAAACCCAAGCTTGCATGTGAGAAACAATAGTGTAGAAGGCACATAACCACTCAATAAAACCTGTGATAAGGCACACCTTGGTGTTTCTTGGTTAAAGGGGAAAATCAAATGTCACAAGTGTAATAAATTCGGTGTCTGTCAAGTCACTGGTTCTGGTTAGTACTTTTGTCAATTCCCACTAAGTTCAACTTGACACACCCCGACCGAAGTCAAGGCGTGCTGACCATCACGTGAGGATGACGTAGCCATGTGCACAGTGCAGAAGCAAAAGATAATAATAAAAGTACGAATAAATAAAAACCAAACTACAAAACAGAGTAGTTAACATACAAGTGCAAGTGTGAGGGTGAAAAACAATATTCAGAGCATAGAAAGCCTAGTGCAGTCCAGAGGAACAACGCTAATTAAACACACCCAGAAGTGGTCCTACACTGGTGATAATTTGTCAGATATGCTGTGGATTCCTCGTAAGCCACCAAAGAGCAACCCAAACTAGAAGTGGGCAAAAATAAAGTTTTTCAAAATCATTTCATTATCAAAAGTTTTAACCCCTTGCCGTAAAACCTGTATAGTTTCCTAGAAAATAGAATATACACATATATCGAAAACATGCTCAGAAATATGTCATGCCGAATGCCTCCACATAAAATGTAAGTAACCCAAGTAATGTCAATCAATACAAGTAACATGTCAGATGGAGACACCTAACATGACCTGTACGGCTGAATCTAGAGCTCAAATCCCCAACTCACTAACTATACCTGCACACAAGTCGGAACCACCTAAAGTGGTATGTACGACAGGACTGGGTGTAAATAAATACGCTCAAGTGCTACGATCACGTGAAGACTGGGCGAATAATCGCGGGTCACCTACGAGTCGGAACCACCTAAAGTGGTCTGTACGACAGGACTGTGCACCTAACTTGGATCCAAGATGAGCGTGTGGTGCGGGAGGTGAACATCACGTGAAAGACTGTGCCCTACTCTGGGCGGGAGCACTAACACCGGAGGTGCAGGTTATGAGCTCTCTATGCATCTTACATAACCACTAATTCACAATCTTAGACCATAACTTACCTGGCACTTACCTGTGCATCCGCAGCACCAATCATAAATATATGCAACTACTAATGCATAATTAAAATAGGCAAAGACTATGCATGGCATTTAAAACATATAAACATTACATATCATTTTCTGGGAAAAACCACAAGTATATAGGTATATACAGAAAACCAAAAGCCCACTCATTGGTATGTGGAAGGGTCGTAACCCCCTTGCCTTGAGTGACTGCGCTCGTCCACCTATATGCGAAACAACTATAAAAATGTCAATTTAAAGCACATAACCAAAACTAGGTAATAACTTCTCATACAATGCTCAAATGGGGTGTATGAATACACCAACGTGATCTACTTAACCTCACGAACAACCCCATATTTTTAAAATAATTTTCTGATGTCATACGTGCCCTCACGCGCTGGCCAAGGCACAACAAGATGCGCCGGCCACGCGCAGGCACGTGCCTGGCACACGGACGAAATCTCTAACGGTGATAGGGAATATTCTGTCCAAAAGCAAGCATATTCCGTTAAAACTAACCTGACGCCGTTAAGAATATTCCATTAACTTAACGGAATATTCCCTTGTCTTCTCCGGTGAGTTTCGCCGGCCGCCGTCTG